ATGAGGGTCTAGAAGAATTATGCTTCCCCCCCTCCATAATGAAGTAATAAAGGATCTATATCCAGAAGAGGAGGGAGTAATCTTAGACCCCCAAATGAAGTACAGAGAACCCCCCCCCCCCCCACCACCACACACGTTTAGGTGTACAGGGGAATATTTACAAATCGCCCACCACCGAGCAGTGCAGGGGGGTAATTAGAAGGGACCTCCTCCTGTCTATACAGAAATTTTGACCCTTTTCCAGGAGAAGGAGACCTCTTAACAGGTGGAGTCAATGGAGGTGATTAAAAGGGACCCCTCTCATCCATCCAGAAATACTGCCCCCCTCCAGGATAAAGAGACCCCTTAAGAGGAGAAGTGCATGGGGGTGATTGGGAGGGAACTCTCCTATCCATCCAGAAACACTGACACCCCCCTTCCCCAGAAGGAGACCCCTTAACAGGAGGAGTGCATTTGGGTGATTAGAAGGGACCCCTCCCATCTCCCATCCAACCAGGAATACTGACCCATCCCCCCCCCAGAAGAAGATCCCTTAACAGGAGAAGTGCATTGGGGTGATTAGAAAGGACCCCTTCTATCCATCCAGAATTACTGACTCCTCCTTCAGAAGGAGACACCTAAACAGGAGCAGTACATGGGGCTGAGTAGAAGGGTCCTCTCCCATTCATCCAGAAATCAATAAAAAGAGACCCCTATCCAGGAATTCAGGAAATCCCCTCCACCCCCCCCCCCCCCTCCAGTTAAAGAAGAATCCTTGTCGGCGTAGTGTGTTACCAATTGTTTTCTTGGTGAATGTGGTCCCAGCTGCCTGGAGATCATTGACAAGATCCTCACATGTAGTTCTGGGATGATTCCTCACTGTTCTCATGATCATTGACACTCTTCGAGCTTGAGATCTTGCATGGTGCACCAGACCTAGGGAGACTGACAATTGTTTTGTATTTCTTCAATTTGCGAATGATTGCACGAACTGTTGTCACCTTCTCACCAAGCTGCTTGGCAAGAGTTTGGTAGCCCAGTCCAGCCTTGTGTAGGTCCACAATCTTGTCCCTGACATCCTTGGACAGCTCTTTGGTCTTTGCCATGGTGGAGAGTTTGGAATCTGATTGTTTGATTGTTCCTGTGGACAGGTGTATTTTATACAGGTAACAAAATGAGATTAGCAGCACTCCCTTTAAGAGACTGCTTCTAATCTCAGCTTGTTACCTGTATGAAAGACACCTAGTAGCCAGAAATCCTGCTGAATGATAGGGGATCAAATACCTATTTCCCTCATGAACATGCAAATCAGTGCATCATTTGATAGACATGCATTTGTTTTGAATTTTTTGTTGCTATTTGGTCTCTCAGTGTTACAATACACCTACCATTCGATTTTTAGACTGATCATTTCTTTGTGAGTGGGCAAACATTCAAAATCATCAGGGGATCATATACTTATTTCCTTCACTGTACCTCCGTTTTTGGTCCATATACATCCGGATGTGAGTTCTGGGTTTTTTTGTGGAAGAAAAACAGGGTTTTCTTCTGTTCAAAAAAACAGATGTAAAAAGTTGTTCATCCGTTTACATCCACAAGTCCATAGAAATACATGGGGGTCCGTTTTTCATCCGCAAACGGACAGATGAAAAACGGACATACGGAACGCCCGTGTGAAAGGGGCCTTAAAGTGAAACTTCACCCAAAAGTTCTGCTTTTACTTCTCCTGCCCCCTTCCTCACACATATTTGGAATCATGGGTCCCAGGAGACTACAGGATCATTCGTGGGACGCAGTGCTGCTGCAAGGAGTCACTGACGGCTGCCCACAGTTAAAATGTTAGCGCTTGGACCCAAAGACCAGCAAAGAGCCAGGTCACGTGAGGACATCGTTACAGTATTTGTAGATGCTAAAATTTACATTTTTGTTTACAGGGTAAACATCACAATTTCAAAGTACTCTATTATTATTATTAATATTATACAGGATTTATATAGTTTGCTCAGTGCTTTACAATATAACGGGAGACAATACAGCAATTAAACAGTTCAATACAGGGTTAGGAAGGCCCTGCTCAAAACCTTCATTACTAAAAAATGCAAAAGGATTGCCTGTCATCACCTCTTTTTTGTTTCCAGCATATTGTCTTATTAAAGTGTTACTAAACCCTGGACCCTGCATTCACTATATCTGGTCTCCTACAGTACACAGAACATGGACAAGCAATTATTTTAGTAAATATAAACTACTAAATACCTTTTCTCATCAGCAATATATAGCAGTCTTGTGACTTCTATCAGTGTCCAGCAGAGCACGGTAAAGCTTGTAGGATGAGTTTTCTTTCTGCTCTAGGAGGATGCAGGACCCCTGACCTCTGTCTGGACAGTGCTGATTGGCCCTGTGCTGATCACATGCACTCTTCCCCCCAAAAAAAACTCTGTAGTAATACACACAAAACTGAGCATGTGCACTTGCCCCCAAGGCTCTGTTCTATCAGGAAATGAGTCGGGGGACAGTAGAAGAAGGGGAGGATCAGAGAAGACAAGAAAAAACATCCTTTTTACACAATACCTCTTTGATTGTAAGCTCTAATGAGCAGGGCCGTCTGTTTCCTCTTGTACCAAATTGTATTGTAACTGTAATGTCTACCTTCATTTTGTAAAGCACTGCGCAAACTGTTGGTGCTATATAAATCCTGTTAAATCCTGTTTATTAATAATAACAATGCAGAGGATTAACCCCTTAGGTTACACAGTAAGTATAACAAGCATGCTTTACTGCATATAAAGACTGATTTTACTGTTCTGGGTTTAGTAACACTTTAAAAAGCAAGAAGCTTTTAAATCAGTAGTATGAGTAATTACCACTTTAACGTTTCTTATTAGCATATAAAAACTTAAATGCATATTAGAAGATCTCCAAAACTCAAGTTCTGTATCTGTGCTGGCTTCCTGATCTGCATCCTATTCTACATCCAAGTTACATAGTCTGGCTGAAAAAAGACAAAAGTCCATCCAGTTCAACCATTAAAGAAAAAAAAAGTTATAATCCTATACCCACAGTTGATCCAGAGGAAGGCAAAAAACACCCAGCAAAGCATGATCCAATTTGCTCCTGCAGGGAAACAATTCCTTCCTGATCCCCAGAGAGGCAATCGGATATTCCCTGGATCAACTTTACCTATAAATGTTAGTATCCAGTTAAATTCTGTGTATCCAAGAAAGAATCCAGTCCTCTTTTGAAGCAATCCACTGAGCTGGCCAGAACCAAGTGATTGACATTGCTTACACAAGAGCCTTATGGGGAAAATGATATTACTTTATGAAGATTTCCTTGTTCAGGCCTACTGAGATGAAGTAGAATTGCAAAGCCATTTCTAATATTCTATACATGTAGTCGTAGGTTTTATTAATTACATTGGGGGTATAATATATACTATAGCGTAAAAACCACTCCTTCTCACTCAGTTATCTAAATCCCAATGACTCAGTGTAACGCCTTCCACCACAGAACGGCAAGAACAAACAGTGATAATGAGCCACATAAATATTAATAATACAAAAAAAATGTAAATTATGCATGCAAAAACCCAAATTGTGATCTGAAAATGAATCTTCTACATAAATCCAAAAAGTCACTAAAAATCATCCAGTGTCCAAAAATAATTTTTCTTATGTAGTGAACTGTCCAAAAATATGCGTAGTCATACACAGTTCTTCCTTGTTCCCATTTTACCTCAAAATAAAGAAATAAACATAATGCATTATCCTTATAACTTAATTCTGGCTACATCAGCTGACACCACTTCACACACTTGTTTTGTAGACATATGAACAGGGGCGGACTGACCATTTGGAAACTGCACTGCCCGAGGGCCCGGGGTCAGTATGGGGCCCCATGAGATGCCCCTGGTACCTTTTTCATAGGCTTTTTTGAGTTTGGGCAAGGACACAGGGGCCCCATGATCCCCTATTGCCCGGGGGCCCCATGAGTTGTCAGTCCGCTCCTGTATATGAAGTTATAATGATAATGCACTATGTTTATTTCTTTATTTTGAGGTAATATGGGAACAAGAAAGAACTGTGTAGGACCAATCATATCTTTGGAAAGTTCACTACATAAGAAAAATAATTTTTGGACACTGGATGATTTTTAGTGACTTTTTGGATTTATGAAGAAGATTCATTTTCAGATCACAATTTGGGTTTTTGCACGCATAATTAAATTTTTTTTATTATTTATGTGGCTCATTATCACTGTTTATAATATATATTGTGCTCCTAACATATTAACATTATATATCTCTATATATATATATATATATATATATATATATATATATATATATATATATCTCTGTATATATATATATATACACAGTATATACAGTATATAGTGTATACGCAATATAATATTGTGTATAATTTACATTAGAAATTGAATATAATGATGTTCTTACATCATGCTTTCTATTTTTCAATGGTCATTTGCACAGTCAATGTCTGCGTGAGGCAGTGAAATTCTATATATGACCCACTGAAGTAAAATAGTAACGCTGCATCACATGTAACCAGACTCTTGTGTTGCCCTTGCTGGTTGGTGACACTGGAAGCATGCCGTCCCTTCAGCACACAGGGCTCTGGTGTCTCCTTTGTGTCCTACTTCTAACAGGCCAGTCATTGACAGGTCCGAGAGACAGAAGACAGCTGCTGTGTCATATGTGATGTGTCTGGCTAGACACGGCTGTTAGTGCTGCCAAACCTTGAAAACATGAACTAAAAAAAAACCCAAAACAGAAAAAAGAACAGATACTTCAATGTCTATACTGAATTCAATAATAGTGAAGACACAGAGGCTGAAGCTCCTCTTACAACCTTATTTACAGATGAATCCATTATACACATGCTTAAAGTGTTACTAAACCCACAACAGTATAATCAGTCTGTATATGCAGTAAAGCATGCTTGTTATACTCACCGTAGAACTTAAGGGGTTAATCATCTGCATTGTGTAAAAAAAAGATGTTTGATCCTGTCTTCACTGATCCTCCCCTTCTTCCACAGTCCCCAATCCATCTCCTGATAGAACAGAGCCTTGGAGACAAACTGCACATGCTCAGTTTGGTACAGAGGCAGACTGACAACTCATGGGGCCCCCGGGCAATAGGGGATCATGGGGCCCCTGTGTCCTTACCCAAACTCAAAAAAGCCTATGAAAAAAGTACCAGGGGCATCTCATGGGGCCCCCTACTGACCCCGGGCCCTCGGGCAGTGACCGAGTTTCCAAATGGTCAGTCCGCTCCTGGTTTGGTGTATATTGCTAGAGAGTTTTTTTTTTCTTGGGAGAGTGCATGTGATCAGCACAGGGCCAATCAGCACTGTCCAGACAGAGGGTCAGGGGTCTTGCAGTCTCACAGGACAGTGAGAGCAGAATGAAAACTCCTCCCATAAGCTTTAATTAGTGCTCTGCTGGACACTGATAGAAGTCACAAGACTGCTATATACTGCTGGTGAGAAAAGATATTTATCAGTTTATATTTACTAAAATCATTTCCATGTCCTGTGTACTGTGGGAGATCAGATATAGTGAATACAGGGTCCGGGGTTTAGTAATACTTTAAATGTTTCTGTTATGTTGGGGAATTTGATGTGATATATCATCCAAAACATCTTTAGCTGGTCATACTTGTGGGGGAAGAGGCATAATATTCTTATTTACAGATGTGCATGATGGAAAGATTTGTTTCGTTTAGTTTCAGATTTATTTGTTAAGTTACTAATTGCATTCCATCATATTTGTTAGGTTAGAATGATTCATTTTTGGAGTTTGCTTCATATATTCAGATTTGTTTCTTACATTCATTATTTTCAAATTGATTCAAAAATCGAATTCAAAACTCAAAATTCGAATTTGAAATACATGCAGCACAGTGGCTAAACGGTTAGCACTTCTGCCTGGCAGTACTAGGGTTGCTGGTTTGAATTGCAACCACGGCACCACCTACCTGGAGTTTATATGTTCTCCTTGTGCCTGTGTGGGTTCCCTCCCACACGCCAAAGACATGCTGGTAGGTTAATTTGTATCCTGTCTAATTTTTCCATAGTATGCATATGCATGAATGTAAGTTAGGGACTTTAGATTGTACGCCCCTTTTGGGTTAGGTACTAATGTGAATGTACAATATATATGTAAAGTGCTGTGTAAATTGACAGCGCTATATAAGTACCTGTAATAAATACATTTGAAATTTGAATTTCAGAAGACAACTATATTTGTTCTATTTTATTCTTTTCTATTCTAATCTATTACATTTTTTTCTATTATGTTCTAATTTTTCTATTCTTTTATTTTCTATTCTATTCTGTTCTATTCTGTTTTATTCTATTCTTTTCTTTTCTGCTTTCATAGTACTGCTCAGACTTTGAAGAAGGGGGTACACCCCGAAAGCTTGTCCTGAAAAATTGTATGTTAGCTCAAATAAAAAAAGTATCACGGACAGAACTTGATTGTTTCTGGCACAAGTGCACTAATATGGCTATAATCACTAATCTGGTTTATTTTATTCTTTTCTATTCTATTCTGCTTTATTCTTTTCATTTCTGTTCTATTCTTTTGCATTCTATTCCATTCTTTCTATTCTATTCTATAAAGCAGCATCTTCTATTTCATTTGTATACCTTACTGTATTTATTGCAATATGTTTTGATTTCTAATTCCAATTCGTTTTCAAATTCAAATTCATTTTCAAATCCATTTTTTAATTTGGATTATTTATTTTCTTTTCCTATTATTTATTTTGGATTAGTTGAAATTTATTAGTATTGGGATTCAAAAATTCAGATAAATCTGAATTTCCAATTAACAAAAATTTCATCCGAATTTAGATTTATAACTAAGCGAATTGCACATTTCTATTCTTTTTGTGAGTGTTGTGAGTGTTAGAAGCAACTGTAGTAGTGAATGTTAGGGTAAAAGTAGTGATTGATTGTTTTTGTCTGTTCAGTGTTGCCTGATTTTTAACCACCTGTCTTTGGAAGAAGCTTCCAGAATATAGGGCAGGGAGAAGCAGATGACCAATATGAATATTTTTCATGCTCAATCCCTGGAGGATCAGCCAATCCTTCACATGACTGGGCCATTAATACTCCTGGCTATGTTTGCTTTGGAGAGACAGGGTAAAAAGGAAAGATAGTGGTGTCTGTCTCTATGTAAGAAGTGATCTCAGAGCTAGTGTGAAAGAGGACCTAGTTGATGGAGAGTGTGATGAGGCTGAAGCATTATGGGTGGAACTGCACATGGGCCTACATACTACATAGGTAATCATTGGAGTTTGTTATAGGCCTCCCAGTGTTAATGAGAAGGTGGAGACTCAGCTTCTTGCACAGATCGAAAGGGCTGCAAGGTTCTGGGACAGTGATAATAATGGGGCATTTTAACTACCCAGAAATTGACTGGAATAATGATACTGCAGGAACAGTTAAAGGGCAAAAATGTATAAACCTGCTACAGGACAATTTTATGGTACAGTTCATAAAGGCCCCAACTAGGTATGATGGTCTGCTGGACCTGGTAATCTCAAGCCATCCAGAGCTTATTACGAATGTCCATATAAAAGAACGTCTGGGTAGCAGTGACCATAACATGATTTCATTTATTGTTAGCTGTAAACATCAAGCACATATGGGAAAAATTAAAAATGCTCAACTTTAAGAGAGCTCATTTTCCAAGGTTGAGAGCTAAAGACTTAGACTGGGAGGGAATATTGGCATTGATGAACACAACATAGAAATGGGAGTTCTTTAAAAAGACTGTATGTAAATGCTCTGCAAAATATATTCCCATGTGCAACAAGTTTAAAAGGCTAAAAATCAAACCTATGTGGCTTACGGCCAAAGTTACAAAAGCTATAAATAATAAGAAAAGAGCTTTTATTACATATAAAAATGAAGGAACGCTATCATCGTTTAAACATTACAAAGAATGTAACAGAATATGCAAAAAGGAAATTAAGGCCGCAAAAATTGAAAACAAACGACAGATTGCAAATGATAGCAGGACAAACCCCCAAAAATCCTTTATATATTAACAGTAACAAGGTCCGGTCCAAGCATGTAGGCCCTTTACAAAATAATCTAGAGTGGGTGACTGGGGACAAAGAGAAAGCAAATTTAAATACCTTCTTCAGCTCTGTATATACAAAGGAGTATGGGGAAGCTCTTGTCCATAATGGGCATGGTATTGACACACCCCAGATGATTTACATTGGCTCACAATTGATATGTTCCAAAAATATTTAGACAGAATAAAGGATGGCATACAACCACGGGTCCTTAACCCCTTGACGTCGACCGTACGCAAATATGCGGCCTTTCAGTGGCTGGGCCTTGATGCTTAGCGGCCACATATTTGCGTACCGTTTGAAAACACATATGTGCTGAGAGCACACGCCCTGTGCGTTCCCATCACATATGTAGGTGTCTCTGAGACTGACAACTCAAGGAGCCCCTGGTCAATAGGGGATCATGGGGCCCATGTGTCCTTGCCCAAACTCAAAAAAGCCTATGAAAAAGGTACCAGGGACATCTCATGGGGCCCCGTACTGACCCCGGGCCCTCTGACAGTGCCCGAGTTTCCAGATGGTCAGTCCGCCCCTGCACAGTATCTCCCCTTGTGTTCAGGACCTTTCCAAACATGTGACTGCTGTGACAGTGAATCACGGCGGTCAGATGACCCTAAAACCCCACCCCGCATCCTGGCGTCTGAAATCCCTTAAAGGGCCGGGAGGAGTCAGCGCGAAGAGGTTAAAAAATTGAGCTCTGTCATTTCAAAGCCATTGTTTCTCATTTTTAGGGACTCTTTAATGACTGGCATAGTACCACTGGATTGGCGTAAGGCCAATATGGTGCCGATATTTAAAAATGGATCAAAATCTTTACCAAGTAATTATAGACCTGTTAGTTTAACTTCTATAGTTGGGAAGATACTGGAGAGTTTAACAAAAGACCACATAGATGAGTTCTTGGTGGAAAAAAAATATTTTATGCAACAGACAGCATGGATTCATGAAAGACAGAGGTTGTCAAACAAATCTCATTTCTTTTTATGAGGAGGTGAGCAAAACCTTGGACAGAGGGGTGGCTGTGCGTGTGTGTGGTATACTTGGATATTGCAAAAGTGTTCCCCACACACAACTAATGTGTAAGGTAAAGTCTATGGGCATGGAAAAATCTGTATGTAAATGGATAGAAAACTGGCTAAAAGATCATATTCAGAGAGTAGTGGTTAATGATTCATACTGTGAATGGTCTGGGGTCATCAGTGGTGTACCCCAAGGTTCAGTGTTAGAACACTTACTTTTTAATATATTTATAAACAATATAGGGTCTGAGATTAAAAATCCCATTTCAGTCTTTGCAGATGACACCAAGCTGTGCAGTGGAACAACATCCTTACAGGATGTCTTCAACTTACAAGCCGACCTCAATGCACTGTTTAACCATTAGCCGCCCAGCGAATAGCTGTTTGGCGGCCGGCAGAATGCTTTAGATTTCTGGGTGGACACCATATGGCATACTCCCGGGCATGCGCAGTTTGCACGCTTGCAGAGTGGTGCGATCTGTCACCGGCCGTGTACCTCGGACACAGCCGATCACAGATCTGAATATCGGCCCCCGTTGCCGGTACCATGTGACCTGCTGTGACCAATCACAGCAGTTCACATGACAGTTGTATACAATGGATGGCTTCATTGATGCCATCCATTGTATACTAGTGTCTAGCTGTGAATGGTCACAGCGATGACATGCACATGTCATGTGATTAGCTGTGGCCAAATCACAGCTAAGCACAAAAAAAAAAAAAAAACCCTGAATGAATCGCTCACTCAGGTAAATGCTTGCTTATAGCAAAGTAATTCTTTGCTATAAGGAAATTGTGTAAAAAAAAAAATACTGATCACTTCCCCAAAGTAGTACACTGTTACTATGGTAACATTGTACTACTTTGGCCATAGTGAAATATGAAAAAAAATATTAAAAAAAGAAAAAAAGTAATAAAAATTAAAAATAATAAAAAAATAAAAAAAAAAAAAAATATATATATATATTTTTATACTGTCACCAGTCAGTGTCCCTGATCACCGCCATGCCAGTTATATGATGACGCTGTACTGCACTGGTGACAGTATATGAAAAAAAAATTGTGAAATAATTTTTTTAAATTTTTTTTTTTCATTTTCTGAAAAATTATGGCCAAAAAAATACAACTTCAAAAAACTCGCCATGCCTCTTATGAAGTACGTCGGACTGTCTACTTTGTAAAAAGGGGTCATTTGGGGGATATCTGTACTGTTCTGACATTCTTGGACCTCAAGAAATTAGATTGGCCATCAGTACTTCAGGATTGATCCACTTTCAGATCTATACCATAGTTTGTGAACTCTATAACTTTCCTACAAACTAAAAATAATACATCCTAATTTTGGGTTATTTTCACCAAAGACATGTAGTAGAATACATCTTGGCCTAAATTTATGAAGAACAATT